AGATAGATAGATAGATAGATAGATAGATAGATAGATAGATAGATAGATAGATAGGTAGGTAGGTAGGTAGGTAGGTAGGTAGGTAGGTAGATAGGCAGGCACAGGCAGACCGACTGACCGACCGACCGACCGACCGACCGACCATGTGTTCTAATTCATATAAGTCTAATTCTGTCATTCTATTAAGCTATATAATAGTTTCACTATCCTTTTGAAAATTAAAACATTAAATTCACAAAGGAAGAAAAGCTGTCCAACCTTATTGGAGACATTAGTAATATAAGATTAAGTGAAAATGAGTAACACTTTTACTTTAATCACCTTGATAAAGATTTTGAAATGTAGGCTATCAAGTTTAGACATAACTCTGTTAAATGGGAGTCTTGCTCTTCTGAGGAAGTATATAGCTTTCATAAGAAAATCAACAATACATGCCAAGTTCTGGGAAAGTATTCTAATAGTTCTAAAATTTCTAGGAAATTTTAGTAAAAAATTTAAAAGGTACAACATGTGTCTTTACATACAATGTTCATGGCACTGTTATTTATAATAGTAAAAAGTGGATGCAATATAAATACCCAAAATGTACCCAATTGAATGCTTGAAGTCTTACAGGGTCAGGTGACATGTAGCCATTTTTAATCATTAAGTTTTCCTAGATTACATTGTTGTCGTTGTTTACTTAGCATATATGGGTATTTTGCCTGCATGTAAGTCTTTGTACCTCATGCATGCCTGGTATTGAGATCAGAAGAGAATTTTGAATCCTTTGAATCTGGGGTTACATATGACTTGACTGTGTGCTGAGAATTGAACCCAAGAAATCCTCTGAAAGAGCAATCAGTGCACTGAACCCAGTGCTCTTAACCAGTAAGTTATTTCTCGAGCCCAGCATTAAAGTATTGTGAACAGTGTGTAATTACAAACTTTTCTGAAAGATATCAAACAAAATATTCCAGCTATACAATATAGATTAATACTTGCAAATAGAGAAAAAGATGGAATAAATATCAAAGCATTAATATTTTTCTAGATGATAAAGTAATGCATCATTTAGTTTCTTAAATTTATAAAATTTCTATTTATAAGTTGCATGCCATGTTATAAGATGCCTATAGATAGTAATGTGGTTACTTAATAAAATGCTTACCTAAATATAAACTAACCAATTTCACTATATCCCATAGTTACCCATATTTACTGTGTGCTAAGAGTAGTTGGCAAAACATTGTGAAAAACTTCCATTTGTGTTGTGGTTTTTAAGATAGGGTCTCACTGTTTAGTGCAGGCTAGCATCATGCTCGTGGTTTTCCTAAATCCAATTCCAAGTGCTGGGATTATAAGAGTGGGCTACCGTACCTGTTTAGTGTGTGTTCATTTTATCAAATTCTGTTGGGTTTTTCTTTTTTTCAGTTAGCATTTGTTAATATTTTTTCAGAATGTGAAATATTATAAAATAGTTCTATGTATAGAACTTTGAGTTTATTTGATACCAACCCAGTATGACAAATTCACATTAATAGTAGATATATAAATGACTAGAATATTTTTTTAAATAATGTCAGAAGTTCTGAGCCTGGAAATCATATAAAAGACCTTATTAGGTTCTCTGGTGAATATTAACAATTGGAGCCATTCAGAGACGGATAAAAGATAAGAGATGAATGCTCACTTGAAATAAATTATCTTTAGTATGCTATGTCAGAACAAGTTAAATTATCTAATGAAAGCTTGCAGTGGACTTCCTCTAATAACATACATAGATGATGAAGGAATTATTTGTTTGCTGAGTTTCGAGTCCAAAGTAAAAGCTTCTTACAAATGCATGGAAATATATTTAACTTTATCAGTAATTAAGGAAATGCAAATGAAAACAAAAAGCACATTTCATTCTAAAAATCACAACAAGTGAAAATGTGTAATAACCTGAGTTGCTAAACCTGTGGAGATCTAGCAGCCTTACATGCCACTGAATAGAGCATGTACATACATTACTAGCTATGTTTGCAGGGTAGCTAAGCAATAATATTGTAGGGTAAACATAAACTTAACCTTTGACCTATCAGTTGAAATGTAGGACTCCTTGTATAAATACTCAGCTGTGTGAAGCCATTTATAAAATGCTATTTTATTCCAATATGTTAATCACATTAATGTACATTCATAGGAGAATAAGTAAATTGTATCTGAAGTATGAAATATATAACTGTTAAAACAATGAAGCATGTTTCTGTTATTCAGAATGGACAATCTCTACCAAATGTTAAAGTAAAAAAAAAAGCAATTTGTAAAAGAATTTGTGTAGACTGAGTTCCCTTGTATTGAAAAAGCATATGGTTAAACATATAAATGACTAGAAATAAGTCTGGAATGAACACAACAAATCATATGTGGTAATTAGGTCCACGAAGGAACCTGAGACTTCAGGCCCCTCCTTAAATAAAAAGGATTGCCATGATTTGCTATTTACTATTACTTTATGTCTTTAAATATATATGTACACACACATACATGTGTGTCTATATAAATCTGCTTCAGGATGCCGTCCTCTTCCATAATACTATCTACTACAACCTCTTATATGGAAACATCAACGCTTCACCAGAGGAAGTATATGCAGTAGCAAAATTAGCTGGTCTTCATGATGCAATTCTTCGAATGCCACATGGATATGACACGCAAGTAGGAGAACGAGGACTCAAGCTATCAGGTGATCAAAGATTTTAAATCTTTTACTTGTATATTCTACTGAAACTTACTTATTGAAAACACTTATATTATTGACAGAAGTTCAAGTATATTAGTGTTAATGTATAATCCATAACCCTTATATTTAAGGAAAGTGAAGGTTGTTACTCACCTGGAAAAGAGCAAAAGTAGAGTTAAGTAATTTAGTGCCGAATCATTTATCTCTCATCTCATTTCCTAGATTAGGCTCAGTTGTTTAAACCTCCCACTTAGAATTCATAAATTTAGATATTCATGGTTTCATGTCCTTAAGTTTTCTAGTTTCAGATATTGGATTTGCCTTTCACTTTGTTGATTCTTTGCTATTGGAATTGTTATCTAAGGTTGTTGCATATTGAAATATTTATAATATAAAATAACATATGATAAACATGTTTCTGGTGAGAATAATTTCAGAATCAAAGTTGTTACTTCTCATTATTATTTATTTCACTGATATGAATCAGATTCATTAAGATTGCATTTGTATTCCAAGGTATATAGTTTGTCAAAGGATATATATAGAATTAGACTGAACAACAATTCAGTAAAATAATGAATGATAAAGAGTTGATGTAAATGTTGCAAGTATAACTTGATGGTCTTAATCAACAGAAATGCTAGAAACATAATATTCTTGTATTATATGTCCTTAAATTAACCTTTTTCTTTTCCAGGAGGAGAAAAGCAGAGGGTAGCAATTGCAAGAGCCATTTTGAAGGATCCCCCAGTTATTCTCTATGATGAAGCTACTTCATCATTAGATTCAATTACTGAAGAGGTAAATGACAATGAAAATAACAAAACAGCCTTTTCCTTGGAGGTTTCAGTACAGTGTCTGCATTACTTATACTGTGGTTCACCTTCCTAATGCTGCGACTCTTTAATATCTACTTCCTCATGTTGTAGTGACCCCAACCATAAAATTATTTTCGTTTTTACTTCATAACTATAAATTTGTTAGTTATGAAATAATGTAAAGATACAATGTACAAGATATTTGATATGCAGCCCTGTGTAAAGATCATTCAACCCCCCCAAAGAGGTCATGACCTCTTTACTTGGAAGTTTGTGATACTCTATGCTATTATTATAGTTTTGCATCTTGCAAAGCTGTACACATCACAGAGAGTTTTAGTCACTGTCTTGTCATTTAGCAACCCTTAATAGAACTCATGTAAGTGATTGTGACACAATACATACCAGAATGCTTTTCACTTACTATTGACATGCAAGCCAAGCGTATACAACCCTTAGAACTAGTATCAATTTGTATTCGTTTCACAAAAGAGTTGTATAACAGCAAAATGTTTGTGACAATGATGTCATGATACTACACAACAAGAACATTGTACCTTATAACAACAGCTTTACAATATGCACGAAAGTTTCAACAGCAATGATAATTTCAAGTAGTTTAATCTACAACCAAAGATAAGCAAGTGTCTTCAGTTAATACATGATGAACTGTGTTAAGGTAGAGGTCTCCTTTTAGCTTTACCAGCAATGTAATATAATATTTCAATTTGGAATTAAGTTTTTTTTAGGAAGCATTATTTTATCAGCAGCATTCTTAAAACTGTTCAAAATAGATCCATTTGAGAATGTATTATATTTTGAGTGAGCATTTAACAGGACTAGATCCCATTTAAAAGAGAATAGCAGCCTGTTTATAAGAACTTTAGACCTAAATATATATTGTACAATATATGTTTCAAGCTAACAAGATAGAATTAATAACAGCAGTTTTTTAAGTCGCATAGCGTTATTATTATGTCAGAGAATATAATCCAGTAAGCATTTACAAAGAATTCCTCAGAGGAAGATGTTTTGATGGGCTTCAGTGAGCGCTTTTAGTAGGTACAGGGGAATTCAGAATTTAAGTTTTTATATAGGAGAGGGACTATCTATAAATATCAGGGTTTTGTTTTGTTTAATATTGGCTCTATACTTGATCCTTAGTCTATCCTAGTAAAGAAAACTGTCTGCTCCCAGTAATTACATGCTTTTAAAAATTAAACGTTTAGAAATACATGTGGAAAGGAAGTTAGTGAGTATATCTTCATCACCTACACTACCCAACTGGCTTTGGTTAGGCCCAAGTTTCTAAGGATAATTGAATACATATATAATTGTCTCACACTTCATAGGCAGTAAAAAAAAATCCATTTTCTAGAAGGTATTAAAAACTTAAAATGTGGCCAGGTACAGTGACATGCACCTAGCAGTTTAAGGCCGGCCAGATCTATGTAGTGAGTCTGATGCCAGCCAGGGCTGCATACTAAGACTGTCTCAAAAACCAAATAAGAACTCAAAATGCTTTTAAAAAACGGGGTTCCTCAAGTTAAAAAAGTACATAGATGTGTTTTGCCTTTAAACTAAGGAAGAACAGATGTTCCTCTAAGTTATCAGACTGCTGTCTCTTGAACTTTTTTTCTTGAATAGTTTCTTACTTTAGTTGTGTTCTTATTGATAAGATTATATATGACTATTTTCCTCATATCACCAAAGGTTTTTAAAACAGAAAATATCACCTTATTCCACAAATTTTAGTGACATGCTGCCTATCTAAGTGATCATTTTAAGATGGTGTACTTATGTTTACTTCCCAATATTCTTTGATTTTTGCCTTTGTTTTATTTCTTTTAGTAAGTATTAGAGGTAAAAGTATTTAGTGGTGCTATAAAGTGCTAAGTTCCCTTAGGGAAAAATGATTGTTTTCATTTACACTAACCTAATTGGAGCTCTGGTTTGGTTTTCTCCTACTCTTGTCAAACTTGTAGACTATTCTTGGTGCCATGAGGGATGTGGTCAAGCACAGAACTTCTATTTTCATTGCACATAGATTGTCAACAGTGGTTGATGCAGATGAAATCATCGTCCTGAGCCAGGTAAGAGATAAATGTTAAAAGTTAGTATTCATTGCTATTCAACATTAATTAGAGAAGTTTCTCTCTGCAATGATTGGTGAATTCGTGGACTTGTGGCTGCTCAAGGTGTAGAAAGTAATTGACAGTTGAGTGCTCAGCCCTAAACAGCACATATATACCACTTGCTCTAATGCTCAGGGAACATCGAGGAATGAGGCAGGGGGTTGGGAGGATAAAGAATCAAAAGATAGTGAGAACAGCTATGAAATGGTGTTAGCCATTTTGTAATCATGATCCTACAGCAGCTCCAGCTACCTGCACTGGGTCTGCATAAGACTAGGCCAGCCAGAAGTCAAATCATGAGTACAGGAAGGACTCACAGGGCCATACCCTTCCCCAAGGAACTATTGACTATTTATAGATTCTGTGGGAGGGAAGGGCAGTCATTGTCTTCACTTTCATACCCAAAGGTGAACTTACCAGGCTCCAGTGGATATTTCGAAACCAATTGTCACATTGACTGACCTGGTAAAAATCAATGGGTCACAAAACCAAAAGACATGAATGAAGGCAGTACACTTGTAGGGCGGTAGGAGGGCTGAAAGGATATGAGAGGGTTAGGGGGAGTAATCAATACGTTTTAAATATGTGTGTCAACTTACCAAAGAACAAACTTAATAGAAGCTATAAAAAAGGAAAAATGATAGTATTAAAAGAAAATTGAAAATAGTTATAGATACCTGAAATTTAATTATTGTGTCTAAAATAATATTACAGAATTTGTGTTCTTTGGATGACATTGGATCCTAATAGTATATTGGGTTTAGTCCCTTTTGTAGGAAGTAATGCATGACATTTTGAAGAAGAATAAACTATAATAACTCACTCTTCATTAAAGTGCTAAAAGTAAATATTTGATCAGGAAAGTATTCATGATGGAAGCATATTTTCAAGGGTTGTCTATATAAAATAATTTTTCTGCATCCATTTTTGTCTTGAGTAAATCTTTGCATGGTGTCTCTGATGTATTTTCATCATTCTAGTGTTGTACATAACCTTAATGTTCTAAGCATTGCAGTAAAATAAAAATGATCATCTAAACATGACCACTTACATTTTTGTTTTCCTTATACACAAAGTAAGAAGATATCCTATTTTATGTCTTAGGGGTTTGCTATGCAAGCTTACTACTATCTACATGTTCTCAGCAAATCAAAATATCATTGTTGTGATTGGAATAGTTGAAAATGTTTGATTATTGCCCTTTATTCCTTTCTGTAAGAGTCTTTTTCTCTACCTGTTAGTGTTTGATTATTTCTAACACTGTTCAGTTTTTCATATCACATTCAGGGCCTTTTCCATTATTATCTTTTTCTTCTAATCACTACTTCAATTCTTTATTGTTTTGGAAGCCTATGTACTGAGAGTTAAGAGATAGGAAGCAATTATATGCTTTCTATAATTCTGAGTAATCAAGAGGGGTGTTTTAATGATGGTGCAGATTGAACTCAGAGCCTTATACATGCGAGCAAGTGTTCTACCATTGAACTATATTCACAGCCTGAGAGTGTAGTTTTTTCATTCTACTAAAGCTTAGACAGTATTCAGTATTGTGATGGCTATGCTCTGCTCTATAAGGGGTTTGTATGCTTGTGACTTTAAACATATTAATTAGTTCATAAATGTTTACATTTTTTAGACAAGATGTTTGTCCCCAATATGATTATACCAGATATCTTAAATGGTAACTTAAACTTTACTGTATCTTTGATATTTAAAATCTGATATTTTGGGTCTTTTTAACTAAGCTTACCAATTGTATGCAGTCGTGCTCTCCGAGCTTTTACTAAGTAATAGAAAATGTTAGCCCGGCAGTGGTGGCCTACGCCTTTAATCCCAGCACTTGGGAGGCAGAGGCAGGGGGATTTCTGAGTTAGAGGCCAGCCTGGTCTACAGAGTGAGTTCTAGGACAGCCAGGGCTACACAGAGAAACCCTGTCTCGGAAAACCAAAAAAAGAAAGAAAAAAAAAAAAAGAAAGAAAGAAAATGTTTGACTTTCTTAGCAAATAATCTATCTCCATGTATCTGTGCAGTTATTTCACAACGTTCAAAACCCTTGGGTTTTGAATTAGAATTAGTGTATTAATACAGTAATAATATCTATATCTACATGCAATCTTAGTATTTTTATTTGTTGGGTCTCTAAAATTGCTTAGTTATATGACCTTATTTTCAGCTGATGGTCTGTCTGTCACCTCAGGCACTCTATCAAAATTTGTTTATGATATTTCTATAAAGATGGCATATCTATGAGAGATCTGATTGAACATGGAAGATTAGACACATTTGTCTCCCCTCCTCCATCCAAAATAAAACAAAAACTGAAGGAATAAAATGAGTATAATTATAAATCAATAAATGTACTAGAGGAGGAATTAACAGTGAACAAAGGATATCAGCAAATATGGGGAAGATGTTAAGTAGGTAGATTAAAAGGACTAAGAAATTTGAATAGTATGATTTGCCAAAATAGAGAGAAAGCAATCTTTAAAACTTGGTTCATACTGTAAAAACCTGAAATGGCTCTGACACTGGAGGCATCAGGGTATTATGGAAAATGAAGATGAGTATGAGGCTAAAATAGCAGAATTCATGTTCATATAAGAAATAGAAGCCAGGCTGTAATCTCAGCTACTAGGGAGGGAAAACCTGGACAACTTTGTAAAACTCTAAAAGTAAAAATATAAAAGAGGCCCTAGTATATAGCTTAATGATAGCATCTGTGAAGCTCATTGTTTGCTAACTAAAATCATGAAAATAAAATCAAAGATACAAAAACATAAATATTGAACACTAACAGGAAGCAACACTGTTACATTAATAATAGAACCAACCCATGTAATTTTTAACACAGTACTCCAATTATACACTCTTATTATTATATGTCCTAATTTGCTTCTTCGTTGTTGTGATAAAACACTTGGTTTACAAGTTACAGTCTGCCACTGAGGGAAGCTAAGGCAGGAACTGATGCAGAGACCATAGAGGAATGCTGCTTACTCCCTCGCTCCCCCTTGGCTTCCTCAGCCTTCTTATTTATTCACCCCAGAACTACCTGCAAAGTGATGGCACCACCCACAGTGTGCTGGGGTCTACCACAATAATCAATCAAGTAAATCCCCTCCAGTCTTGCCTACAAGCCAGTCTTATGAAAGGATTCTCTCAGTTGAAGTTTCTTCTTCCAAGATGCTCAAGCTTATGTCAAGTTGACAAAAACAAAACAAACAACAAAAACCCCAGGATATTTTTGGATCTAGCAGAAATGTATTATAAGAATAAATAATCCAAAAGAAATAGTTGGTGATTTTGTGGAGGTACCCATTTTGAAATTATTTTCTATACAAGACTGAGCAGCATATGCTGAGTAAATGTACTGCTCTTAGATCAGAAATCTCACTTGGGAGAAGAAAGATACAAGTAAAAAAAATCATCAAAGGAAAGGAAGACTCTCACAAGGTTATGTTTTAACAGAATTATCTATATAAATTTCTGATACGAAAAGTATTCCAATTCTGTCCACTGAAAAGCCTGGGAGCAATGAAAGTCTGTAAGTAATGAGCATTCCTGGCACACAGATCTTGGGTACTAAATTACTGTTTCTCACTAAAAGGAACCAAACCTCCTTCGATAAAAGCTGTTCTGGGGCCAGGAAACTAATGAACACATGTCACAGGGCCACAGGAACCACTTTGAATGACCTCCCACTGGCCAAATGTGGGATAATTAGAGCAGTAAAAAGAATAATGGCACTAATGAGTTGTAACACAATGAATAAAAAATAATTTCTCTATTCATGATGATACTTTTAAAACAAGAACTACCAAGAGGAAAAGGAAAGCCCTTTAAGAATACCACCAGCCAGCCTGTAGAAGGAATGATAAATTCAGAGAATCAGATTTTGCGACTACCATTGTAGTAATTGTTTTAGAAAACAGTCATCATAGGCTGATTAAACTATTGAGGAAGAGATTATTCAGTCAGTTTGAAAATAAATCTCGTAGATTACTTATTATTACAAAGATAAATTTTGTCGGTTAATTTGAGAAATTGTCCTTAAGCATGTGATTAAATTTCCTATCAGTAATGGAACAAACTGATTTCTCTACCTTCTGATGTGATGATGCATTGAGGACATTTTTACCCTTTTTAAAATTCTCTCTCTCTCTCTCTCTCTCTCTCTCTCTCTCTCTCTCTCTCTCTCTCTCTCTGTATGTCTGTGGGGTATGGGATTATAAGTGTGAGTGCAGTGTCAGAAGAGGCCCAAAGTAGGCCTTGGATCCCCTGAAGCAGGAATTATGAGCTGCCCAAGGTGGGCTCAGATCCTCCAAAAGATGAGGAACAGTAGAGCCATCTCTGGACCCGCATGACCTATTTCTAATTTTACTCCCTCTATCTACCTCCCATGATTTACACTCAGTTCTTTAAAAATTAAAAACATTTAAGTTCAATATGTTGGTTTTCTTCAGATCCTAGATGGAAAAAAGCAATAAAGGGGATTAACATTAATAGTTTAAAATGAAGTATTTGTTAGATAAGAGTAATGAGTCATTGTTGAATTTCTATTATACTAGGCATGTAAAATTATTCCTTATTTTAAGAGATACATATTAATGAAATATTTAGGATTATAATATAATTGATATCTACAAGTCACGCTCAGATTGTTTGACAAAAAATAGTGTGTGTGTATAGATAAAGTAACATCGTGCATACACATACAAACATGATAGTAGTAAATGAAGTAATTGCTAAGTCTAGGTAGAAGAAAAACTGTGAGAAAATATATGTAAAATCCCAGCACCTACATGATTCAACAGAAAATTTGTAGTCCATAAAGTAAACAACACTTGAAAACACTTGACTAGACATAACAAAATAAATAGAACCAGAATTTGCGAAGAATGCAGCAGAGGGGATGTGAGATCATTAGTGTCAACTCTCCCAACTTCTTCAACAAGTTGATAAAGAATGCCAGAAATCCATAAATCAAGAAACAAATATAAGCATATATGTATATAGCCATGTGTGTGCAAATTCAGCACTTGGGCATTGCCACAAACTTCATTAATATTACAGAAATATTTGGAAAAATCCTGTCATTGGATTCCAAATTCAATTTCATAGGATTTTCCAAATCCTGTGAAAGTAACAAATTCCTTTTGTCTCTCATTATGTTTAACAAATTAGTTGTGGGTCAATGTTTGGAACCCATATCAAATTAATGAAATGCTGTCTTTAATAGGTATTGTTACCAAAGAGAGCTACTGGATGGACTTCATTTTCAAGAAGTTTTCTTTATTTCATGAAATTTTATTTCAAAATTCTCATGGATTTCACAATATTGTTTTTAAATCCTTTAAATCCCCGTATAAATAACAGTGCTTTTGATTTGAACATTTGCTGATTACAGAAAATATCACCTTTTTAGAATTTTAATCTTCCCTTTATGCCTTCCAAAATGAAAAAAATAAAATAAAGCTTCATTTTCCTTACATAAGGTGGTGTTTATGCTATTGGGAGTCTCCTCATTTCTGTTTACAGGGGCTGGGTAATGTATCAGCGAAGAAGCATTCCTACCTCAGTCTTTCTTCACTGGGGCTATGGATAAGGAATTAGAAGTATTTTAATGAATAAAGGTTCTTGAAATATTTTCTCATGAATTACTATATAGTTTTAGATATTATGCTAGTTAACTGACCTTGGTCCACATTTACCTTGTGTTTCCTTTGTAGGGGAAGGTAGCTGAACGCGGTACCCACTATGGTCTGCTTGCTAACTCTAGCAGTATCTATTCAGAGATGTGGCATACACAAAGCAGCCGTGTACAGAACCAGGATAGCCTCGGATGGGATGCAAAAAAAGAGAGTCTCTCCAAAGAGGAGGAAAGAAAGAAGCTCCAAGAAGAAATTGTCAACAGTGTGAAAGGCTGTGGGAATTGTTCCTGCTAAGGAACACAGACATTTTCTCATCTTTCTTTTTGTTGTCTTGTTTGGTTTTGAAGTATGCATTTGCACTGAAGTAAAACCAGTTCACAAAAACACAAATCATACATTCCCATTCCTTTAATCCTATTAAATATGATTTATTTAAAGGAGGATTTGATTTTTATGTCTTTCACCATCTTTTGAATGTGACATCTGTATTTATCCCCAAATTATTTTCTTGTTACTGCCCCAAGTGTGCTCAGTACATAATTTTTGTTACCATTTGATTTTACCCTACAACTATGTTTGAAGTCTGACAACCACTTAATATCAATAACCAGATGAATTAGAATGGTTTCTGAATTTAAGTAGTCTTTAAAAACCTCCTTTATGCTGACAAGTTGTAAGGAGACCGTTTTTTCTCTTAAAATTAAACAGGAATAAAAAGAGAAGTGGAGGTTTTTCTCCTCTTTTCTCCCTCCAGTTATATTTCCTTGCCAATCTGAAATTTTGTTTGAAAACACGTAAGTTAGAATTTACAGAAAAATGAACTATATTTTTACTTTGGGCATTTTACTTTTAGATACCTATAATTATAGTTTTATTGTGCCCTTTTTGGAGGAAAAACTCATATTGGTGGATAGAATATTCTCTTTAATCACCACTGCTGCTGTTATCTAGTGATTAGTATTTTATTTTTACCCCAAAATTTTTGTTTTGGATGAAAATTAAGTTTTCCTTAAAGTCTCACAAACCTTGATGTTATTTGAGAGTTATTATTCTGCAAATGATCCCAAAAGCTTAATAACCTTTCCTATTTCCAACTTAAGTGCACTGCTTTTGCTATCTGAAGTTATACAGACAGAGATATAAGAAAAAAAGATGTTGTGTATCCACCACATGTGTCTGTGTACATACTCATACATTTATATAAATCAGTGTCCACTTAAAACTATTTAAAATGTTCAGTAAATCGGAAGAGATTCCATATATGCATATACTGTTTAGATGACCAGGTATCTTAATCTATATTGACACTTCAGAACTGCTATGTTTATTATAAGGCTTTTATTATTCATAATTTAATGAATTCTGTTAAGTCTAACGTAAAAAAGAGACAGTGATGTATTCAAGTTTTACTAAAAGAATAGAAAATCATTTTACCTATTAGAAATAATTATTAAAATGAGATACACATTTCACTTAGAAGCTGTTCTCTTAAGCTAGGCATCAGGAGGTTGAAGTCAGGAATTTGAAGCTAGCTTCGGCTATCTATGAAGACCCTGTCTCTTAAGGCTGAAAAAGAAAAAAAAAGTTCTTGATTCAGTATGAATTAAATTTGTTTGATAGTACCCATTCAGTTCAAAACACGTGTATCTCATGAATTGCCACATAATCATTTGTAATGTGGTTTTATTTCTCAGGAAAGGTCCTAAACTGCTTATCACAGTGTGGTTTTAATGTATTTAAAGTGACAATTTAGTGTGGGAAAAATTAGTATTTTTGATTTGTAAATTAGTATTAGTTAATAAATATCTTTAATTATATTACAATAGTTTGATAATCTGAGGCCAGTATTTCAGTTAGTCTTTGAAAGCAAAGTAAGTTATGTGGGATCTTGCCTTTAAAGTTGGAGGTATACTTCAGTGTGTCCTGGACTGGGAACTAGCTTTGGTTTGGTTTGTTGTTATTTCTTACTTTCAAGACATAGGTATCAGTGCTGTTCTCAAGGGGTGAGGGAGCACACACATCCTTTGAATAAATCGGTTCCATTACTAGAGATGTGGTTAAACTTATATAAAAATCTTACTTCTGTGTTAATTCTTACACTTACACTGATGCTGATGGAGATGATGGAACTCAGTTACACAGACTAGGAGTGTGTAATAATCATTAGGAAGAATTGTTCCTGACAGGTACACAGTAGTGTTCAAAGCAAGTTATTCTGTGATATGGGGAACATTTTACTCCAGGGAAGTAGGAATATTTTCAGGATAGGGAAAATTTCCCCACTAAGATTTTGAAAATATGATTGTATATGATCCCTAAGCCACTGCAGTCATTAACCTATTATCAGCTCACAAAACTTAAATTATCTGAAAAAGACAATTAGTGCAGAGGCCATAACTAAATCTTAAAGACAACTTTTTAAAAACTACATCATCCTTAGGTATTTCTATAGAGGGCGATAATAGACTGAGATGAAAGAAAAGCTTCCTGGGATGATTCAGTTATAGGAAATGCCAAGAAAAGGGCATCTAATTATAATATTCTAATTTTATATCACAACATTACATAATTACACAAAAGGATAATGTGTATAAATTTTTTAAAAATTAGTGTTGCAGCAATTTTTTTAATGTATTAGGAAGAATAAGCTATAGTTTTCAAATTTGAGCTCTGAAAACAGGAAAATTATGGGGTTCATTTCTCACATCTATTTTAAATATTAAAAAATTTACTTTCTTCCTATGGGAATTTCAGTTTACAAAAATTAACTTGAAACCAAGGTAATTTAAGATCATAAAGAAGGTGGCCAGATGCCTTGCTGATCGTCCTTAACATAGAACTCTCTTGGTATGCAGATGGGCTTCTTTGTGATCATTGAGATATATGCATCTGGGCATAAACAAGCTCAAGATATGCATTGACTTTTCCTCTACGGGGGTTTGTGTCTTTTATATACCTTAAGAGAAACATTCTGTCTTTCCCCTCTATGTTGACAGATCTTAGTTTGCGTGGATAGTTATTTTTTTAAAACTTGTTTTGTTCTAAAGGCCAGGTATTTAAAAACTCTGTGATTCCTTGTTTCTAGATCCTTTTCCCTACTGCCATCTTGTTCCTATTCTTCCTACTTGCTGAATACATCACCAACTAGCAACCTTTGCCAGTATATATTCCTAATTTCCTCATTTTGCAACGTATTACAGGGTATTCTGTTGTGAATTAGCAGTTTAAAGTGTTTAAATATGTTTGTAATTATAGTTTCTTTTTAATTATAGAAAAATCCCTTCTTTTCTCCTCTCTGAGTGTATTGATTTGGAATGTAAACTGTATGGTAAATCATAACATTGAGTGAAACACTCTGGATAAAGATGATTAAGACAAAACATTTCAGCCAAGCATTTACCTTACCACAATTCTCATGGTTATAGCAGTCTATGCAGATAATCATTACTGAATAAACATGATTTCTTTATGCCTAGAAATGAGTATCTGATGGAAATCACTTTTCTGCACTGTTCAGAGAAACTGATGGTTTCTCCCTTATACACTTGGAATAAATACAGGTAATTACTAAGTACTCTGGGAATATGGCCTTGCAGCTTAAACAAAAGGTGAAAACATGCCACTTTTTCAAAAGCAAAGTAAACATTTGCAGAGTACATTATGTAGGTAAAATGGTAGCAAATTATAGTGGTTTTATTTAGCCTTAAGCTGTCATATTTTTTGATAGCCAACCAGTGAAAGGTCCCTAGTTTCTTACTTGTCCCCAGTTTCTCAGTTGTAATGAATAGGAGGTAAAGCTTGGGGTGCAGAAGTGTCTTGCCTGCATTTTGATTACCTAGGTAGAATTGGAAACAAATTGTGTTCTAATTAAAAACAGATTGGAACTTTAAAAAAAATACAGATTGTTTCCGTATTTCATGTTCTCATATAGCTACCATAAAATGTTCACTGGTGCCTTTCTGTTTCTATTTTGTAAAACCATAGGGTTGAAAGGTCATTTAATACTTTTTTTTCTCATTCTATAAACGAGGAAGCTGAACTTCAAGAGAAACTGCTACACTGGATGAAATTCTTGTGCTGTACCACAGTTCCACCCAGAAATCACATTTGAAAATAAGTTGGGAGAATGGAGAAGTAAGGTGCTCCACAGGCCTGCTAGCCAACAAAGCAAAAATATACCTGCTTTTTTTTAAAAAAAAATTATATTTGTCATTTTATCTATATATATTTCAAATGTTATCCCCCTTCCTAGTTTCCCCTCCACAAAGCCCCTATCCCTTGCCCCTTCCCCCTGCTTCTATGAGGGTGCGTATCCACTCACCTACTCACTCCTGCTTCACCGCCTTAGCATTCCCCTGCTTTGTGGCATCCAGCGTTCACAGGACCAAGGACCTCCCCTCCCACTGATGGAGATAAGGCCTGCTACATATGTGGCTGGAGCCATGATTCCCTCCATGTTTACTCTTTGGTTGGTGGTTTAGTCACTGGAAAGTTTGAGGGTGATAGTATGGCTGGTTGATAATGTTATTCTTCCTATGGGGTTGCAGACTCCTTCAGCTCCTTCAGTCCTTCCCCTAACTCCTTTAATTGGGGTCCCCGTGCTCAGGCCAATGTTTAGCTGTGAGCATCCCCATCTGTATTGCTCAGGCTCTGGCAGAGCCTCTCAGGAGACAGCTATACCATGCTCCTGTCAGCAAGCACTTCTTAGCATCAGCAACAGTGTCTGGGTTTGGTGTCTGCATATTGGATGGATCCCTAGGTGGGGCAGTCTATGGATGGCCTTTCCTTCAGTCTCTGCTTCACTCTTTATCCCTGTATTTCCTTTCAACAGGAGCAATTCTGGATTAATATTTTTGAGATGAATGAATGGGATGGGGGAACTGGGGTAGCCACTAGAAAGTCTCAGATGCCAGGGACCCAAAAGGTTCCCTGGACCCAACAGGGATGACATTACCCAAAATACCCAACAAACAAGAAACAGAATCTGTAGAGACCATATCCAGTGGATAGGCATGGTTGCGGAATGGAGCCACTCACCCATCTCAAAATATAACTGCTTTCAAAACTTGTTTTAGGGGCTGGAGAGATTGCTCCGATATGTGGTTAAGAACACTTAGCTGCTCTTGCAGAGGACCCAAGTTCAGTTCACAGCACCTACAACAGACAGTTCAACTCCTTGTAACTCCACTTCCAAGAAGAATCCAACACCCACTTCTGACCTCTGAAGGCATCTCCCTATACTTATGTACACATACCAACACAAACACTTTGCATACACATACTTTAAAAATATAAATAAATCTATTTTTTAATTGCTTGGAAGAAAAAAATAGTCTATTGAAAGCTTCTGAAAATGCCCTAAGGACATATAGGAAATGGAGAAACATTTAAGACATTCTAATCTTAAGAACAGCAAGAGACTGTGGCCTTTAAGAAATGCTATGTTCCATATGCTCTGTGCTGGAAGCTCTACCCTGGGCGTTCTGCTCTGAGCAGGTGTGGGAAAGACATGAAGATAGTGGGGGTACCTAGGACCTCATCTCCCAGTTCCCTACTTGAAACTGAAGTTTTCTTCCGTCATCAGAGCTACCTTGTGTTTTTTAAATCTACATCCTGTCTTTTCCTCCCTTATGTGTGTCTTAGCCCATTTCCTGCTGCCATGGCAAAACATGAACAAGTGAGCTGTAAAGATTTGAATTTTATTTGGCTGTGATGCTAATCATATGATGCCAATATCTGTCATCTAATGAAAGCCTTTTTGCTGTGTCATAGCATGGTAGAAGATACACAAGGGTGGAGAGAGAGGAAGCATGCTGGTCATGTTTCTTACAAAGACAATGGTACCATCATGGGCATCACACTGTCATGATCTCCTTTTACCTCCCTGGGATCCCACCACCAAATACCATTAACATGAACTTTTTTCAACACATGAAACTTGGAAGTATACGTTTAAACCATGGTTGAGTAGAAGCTATATTCCGTGTATGAGGACAAGATGCTAATTTTTCTTCTCCAACTTACTCATAGGGTGGAAATTTCACTCAAAATTGGCCCTACTCCAGTGCAGTTCAATATTGCAGAATTTCTGATCAAGGGGAAATGTGTATGATTAGGGCAAAGAACCCCATAGATCCATTTGTAAGTAACTGACTTCATTTGAAAGCATGGAGAACTACTTTAGTAAAGACATTGTCAAAAGCAGTAGAGGTCTTGGAATAGGTGAATTAAGTCAGTGATTCTCAACCTTTCTAATGCTGTGACCCTCAAATACAGTTCCTCATAGTGTGGTGACCCCCAACTATTAAACTATTTCATAGCTACTTCATAACTGTAATGCTACTGCTATGAATCATAATGTAAATATCTACTTTCCCATGATCTTAGGAGACCCCTGCAAAGGATCTCAACATGCAACTTGAGACCAGCTGAATTAGGAGGAACTGGCAGAAAAAATAGAGTAGCCAGGATGTTGAGCAGAAATGAAGGAGGGAAAGCCTTCCTGGGAGCAGGCAACTTTGAAGCTGAGACAATTACAAATCATCAAGGAGAAAATTTGTTTCTATAATTGCCATAGGTGTCCATCTAAAATATCCAGGTTACAAGAAGAATGTTGTAAGGCGCAAAAGAAAAGAGAATCTAATCCAAACATAGAGAACATAATATTAGGTACTGCCATAGTGGGCCAGTCATCATCACGTACAAAAGAATCCCAGATTTCTAACAACAGTTCGTCAGATGCAAAAAATCCAGAAGACAAACTAGTGACATTCAAATTGCTGAAATAAATGTTCCATCAAAAATATTATATTCCAGCCAGATGTGACCACTGGTACAGTGGTAGCATGACTTCCATTACCTTCTAATTAGATTTAAGACCCATTCCACAAGAAGGAATTCATATCAAATGCCCATGTCTAGTTGAGGTCATAGGCCCTAGGGGGAACCTACTATTACTGCTTTGCTAAATGAATATTCTGTCAAACTGCCTTCTAGATATTTGTGTTTTCACCTTGGTCAGAAGAACATCTTTTGGCAGTGGTCAGTTATTGATTTAAAAAAAAGACTCATAATTAGCATATATATATATATATATATATATATATATATATATATGAAACTTCTTCACTACTACCACCCCTACACATGCACACATGCACACATATGCATGCATACATGCACACACCATTGTGGAAAGGGCTTGGAAAGAAAGTAAGCTGGAAGATGAAGAGTGCTGTGTAATTCTAGAAGGCAGGTCCATTGCTCTCAAATTCACAGCAACTGTGGTTACATTCACAAGAACAAGCCAGTCCAAATTCCCACATGGATACTGGAGGGGATCCCAAGGCCCCACTCTAATCAGGAAACTATTGGTAATTAATGGCTACTGGGGGAGGAAGAGTAATTTTTACTGGGGAATGAGACTACTGGTAGGTTATTCATGCTTCTGTGAATGACTATATCCATGTATATATGGGGAGTGTTAATTGGACTCAGTGGGTTATAAAGAAAAAATATGAAGTTGGGAGGGGGTGTTGATTAGAAGGGTTTTATGGGAATTGGAAGAGAAGAGTAAATGCATTGCACATATACATGGAATTTTCAAAGAAGACAAAATGTTACTTGTAATTTTACCTCAAGCTATCATTTTAAATTGAAGATAAAAATCAAGGGGGTTCCAAACACCATGCATTAAAATATATTTCCAGTAAACCTGCAAGAAATACAAATGAACATCTGCAGGTCCAAAATAAGCAACCCAGGAAATAATTCAAATCTACAGGAGAAAAACAGTACCTGTAGAGACACTCTAGTGAGTTCTGAAGACAGTGTAACAAGCATAACATTTATACTTTCTATAGAATTTATATGTATAACATAAAAATATAACATTTCTTTTTCTTTCCTTAACTTACAAGGAACTACATAAAACAGTCTATACCATTATTTTGTTGGAGTGAAAATAAAGCTGTCTTAGAGTAATGGGTTATTAATGGTATCTTAGATCCATAGGAACAAGCAGAGAGAGCCATATATCTTACATAACAAGTTAATATCACAAGCCTATCTGTACCTTCCTCACTGCTTTTTTATAGTAGTGATTATATTGTATTGATTTTTGACAAGAACAATAATATAAAAATGAGAGTGTGTAAAGGAGCAATAGAGGAATGTGCTTTATTTCATTTGGACTACATAGTGTAATTATGAAGTGCATTCTTTTAAGTTACACTGTATATTGGAAGTCCCAGAAAAAAAAACAAGAAAATAACTCTAAGCATATACTTAAAGCACCATTAAAAGAATAAAGTGATATACTAGACAATAGTTATGAATTACTAAAGAATTCTATATAAGAGGAAGAGGAGTCCGTTTTTTAAAGGAGAAACCATATAGACAAAATCCAAAGTATAAATGTTTACTCAACAACTGTTGATACCAGATAACTATCAGTAGCTATTCAACAATATAAAAACAA